TACAGTACATCCAATTCTAGGTCTAGGATCTGTAATTAAATTGCGTACATGCTGTTAAAAAAAAGCATCCGGCTGTTCTCAGATGGTCCAGTGCAAGGGTGTAGAGACTATAAATGGGAGGGCTGTAGTGACATGCAAAAAACAGCAATTTAGAAGACAAGGAAAATATTAAGTCTTTAGATTCTCTACATCCCAGCAGGCAAGATGCATGATATAAGTATCGTCTCATTGCTGGAATTGGCTGCGTTTTGTGAGACTTAACCATCAGACTGCCACATGAGTTTAAAAATCATAGAAAATTCAGGTTGAAGGGACCTCAGGAGGTGACATCTAGTGCAACCCCCTGCTCCAAGCAGGACCAGCCCCAACTACAGCATCCCAGACAAGGCTTTGTCTACCTGGGTCCTCAACACCTCCAAGGATGGAGAGTCCACCACCTCTCTGGGTCACCTGTGCCAGTGCTTCACCGCCCTCCTCGCAGGAGAGTTTTCCCTAATATTTAACTTAAACTTCCCTTGCTTTAACTTGAGACCATTGCTCCTAATGCACAGTATCATCTAGGATACTGTATATTTCTTTGCCTCCATTTTTCTGAGCAGGGACCGGATCAGCTCCTACACGGGGACCCCCCTAGGTCCTGGGGGAGGCGCACCCAGACCTAGGGTCAGTGAGGACCTAGTCAGGGAACATATGGAGGGACTGGATGTATTTAAATCAGCTGGTCCTGACGATCTTCACCCCAGGGTGCTGAGGGAATTAGCAGAGATCATTGCGGGACCCCTGGCACGGCTTTACGAGCGCTCGTGATGCTCTGGTGTGGTGCTGGAGGACTAGAAAAGGGCCAATGTGGTCCCCATTTTCAGCAAAGGGACAGTCAGATGGGTCACTAACTGGCTGGAGGGCCGCACCAAGAGGGTGGTGGTGGACGGGTCTTATTTGACCTGGAGGGCTGTGGGCAGTGGGGTCCCCCAGGGCTCGGTCCTTGGGCCCGCACTGTTCAACATCTTCATCAGCGACTTGGACGAGGGGATGAAAAGCACCCTGTTCAAATTTGCTGACGACACTAAGATGTGGGGGGATGTGGGCACGCTAGAAAGGAGGGACAGGCTGCAATCAGACCTAGACAGGTTACAGGGGCGGGCGGATGAGAACAGGATGGGGTTCAACACTGACAAGTGCAGGGTGCTGCACCTGGGGAGGAAGAGCCAGCGGCACACCTACAGGCTGGGGAACTCCCTTCTCGTCAGTGCAGAGGTAGAAAAGGATCTTGGAGTCATTATTGATGCCACAATGAACATGGGCCGACAGTGTGGGGACGCGGTCAGGAAGGCCAACCGCACCTTGTTGTGCATCTACAGGTGCATCTCCAGCAGGGCCAAGGAGGTGATCCTCCCCCTCTACGCAACACTGGTCAGGCCGCAGCTGGAGTACTGCGTCCAGGTCTGGGTACCGCACTTCAGGAGGGATGTGGACAGCATGGAGAGGGGCCAGAGGAGGCCACCCGCATGATCCGGGGACAGCAGCGCAGGCCCTACGCGGAGAGGCGACGGGACCTGAACCTGTTCAGCCTCCACAAGAGAAGGCTGAGAGGGGATCTAGTGGCCATTTACACACTAGTCAGAGGGACCAGCAGGCATTGGGGGAGTCCCTGTTCCCCCGAGCACTCCCAGGAGTGACTAGAAATAAGGGTCACAAGCAGACGACGCCTTCCCACCGCTGCCCATCATCCCAGCAGTACCCAGCGAGCTGACCGAGCTGCCCAACGCACTGCTCAGGCTCCCGGTGCCCCCCGGCAGCAATACGGGCTGCCCTTTTGGCACCCTGCCCCGCAAGGGCCTCTACGCGTGGGTGGTGCACACCCGGCACGCCCAGGTGCTGGCTGGCCGCCCTGACACCATGTGGTGGTGGCGCCTGGCGCGGGCCAGGACCCCAGTGTGGCGCACTTCCAAGAAGACCGGCGACCTGCAGTGGCGACTCGTAAATAGTGCTTTTGTTCGTTGTGTTTTTTTGTGTGTGTTTTTCAGTCTAGAGTGCACGGGCAGGCCTTGTCCATGAGGCCCAGATCTTCGGGCCAACCTGTACATACTCTCTACTGGCCCCGATTTGTCACCCTCCCTGGAATAAATGCCTCTTAAAAGGCAGAGGGTAGACTCAGACTAGATATCAGGAGGCACGACTTCACAGTCAGGGTGGCTAGGATCTGGAACCAACTTCCAAGGGAAGTGGTGCTGGCTCCTACCCTGGGGGTCTGTAAGAGGAGGTTGGATGCACACCTGGCCGGGGTTGTTTGACCCCAGCATTCATTCCTGCCCATGGCAGGGGGTCAGACTTGATGATCTGCTCAGGTCCCTTCCGACCCGACCAACTATGAAACTATATTATCTCATGAGCTGTCGCTTTAACATATCAGGATATTAAGTACACTCAGCAAAAGAAAAATCCTAATGTTTGGCATGTGTGTAGATGTTGTCCACAACTTGTTGCGCGTCTTCTTCCAAAGCTGGGCTGTAAAACTGCAAATATAGACTCTGTTGGTTGGGTGTTGGTTAATTATTGACCTATGTTTTAGAAGATTGATTTTGCAAATGACAGCTGGCCCCATTAATAGTGATAAGGGGATAGTTGATCGTTATAATAATTAGTAATGTTAGCATGATATATAATATTAGCATGATTATATATAATATAATGTTAGCATGATATATAATATAATAGCATGATATACAATGTTAGCATGATTATATGTAATATATGAGCATGATATATAATATAATGTTAGCATGATATACAATATTAGCATGATTATATGTAATATAATATTGGCATGATATATAATATAATAACATGATATACAATCTTAGCATGATTATATGTAATATCATATGAGCATGATATATAATATAATAACATGATATACAATCTTAGCATGATTATATGTAATATCATATGAGCATGATATATAATATAATGATAGCATGATATACAATATTAGCATGATTGTATATAATACAATATTGGCATGATATATAATATAATAACATGATATACAATATTAGCATGATTATATGTAATATAATATTGGCATGATATATAATATATTGTTAGCATGATATACAATATTAGCATGATTATATGTAATATAATATTGGCATGATATAGAATATTAGCATGATATATAATAATAAACGGGTTTATAGAAATATGATAATAGTAACATTATTATAACAATACTACTGCATTGTGCAGTACTTTGAATTCAGCTTCAGATCCCATTTCCAAGGCATGAGAAGAAGCAGGATGCTTCTTGCTCTCGAGTTAGCCGTAGTTCTTTTTGGCCGGTGCAATGCAATGCTAGCTCCCTCTCTTGCTCGTCTGAAATGCTGAGAGCACCTTGGAAACATTAACGAGTTGATTTTGCTTCACCACTGCAAGGCATTTCCCTCATGTGTGTTGCAAGGGAATCATGACTTTGGTGGGATTAGGACTGCCTGTGCGGGGCATGAGCTGCAGTTCCTATGGAAAGTTGGAGCTATTGTAGCTCCAGACGTCATTGCATCCTCTTCATTAGCTGAGACCGAGCAAGGAGATGCATGCATACAAGACCTTCTTTGCAGTATGCACCTAAAAGCCCTCTTTGGACTCTCTTCCTCTGCAGAAAAGCGTTCACTGGAACTGATGCACAGGAGAGGTGTATGCATTTTTACCACGGAGTAAGAAAACAATACAGGGTTAGCTGCTTATGAAGGTCTAGACCAGTGATTCTCAACCAGAGTGCTGCAAGATCCTTTTAAGGGTGTTGTGCAAGAGTAGCACCGTTCGATGTCCAAACACCTGTGTATGATTCACAAGATAAGCCCAGAGATTTTATAGAGGAGCTCGTAACGTCAAAACTATTCAGACCTGTCCTGGTCTCCCCTAGTTCTTTGCAACAGAAGAATTGCTCTGGCTTGTTTGTTTGTGTTTTTCTATAGTCAAAAAAGGGGTCAAAAGCTAAAAGCTGGGATTTTCCCTTTGGGCTGGGCAGGAACAGTTCACATGGCTGTTATTATCGGGGATGGCTCCGAACCAATCGTCGGTATCCAGAGGCGCCCCAAAATTGCCAACCTTGAGCTGAGAAGCACTTTTGCTCCAGCCGTCTCTGCTCATGATCTGAAGTCGGGGTGTTTCATGGGCGGGGTTGTCTCCTGACTCCTTTTTCTAGCTGTGCCGATGCCCGCCTTGCTCAATTCTGTTCACCCATTGCTAAAACAGGGATGCTGCATGCTGCACGTGTGTGTGTAGGTGTGTTTGGGTCCAGTTTTGAGGCTCTGATGTTTTGTATAATACCTACGTCAAGACCCACAGACGAGAGACGCTCCATAAATGCCAAATAATATCATAATTCCTCCCTGCGGCTGAGTGTATTGTTTCAACATTGGATTTGGCCAGCTCTGCGCTCGACAATTTCCTTGGTAATTTGTTGCTATTGCTCTGGCGTTTGCCAGCAACCAGTGAAATATCCATCAGAAAAATTCTTGGAGAAAATAGCATTTTTCCTCCAAGCCGGCTTAGTGCACAGTTTCCGTGTGCTCAGGGAGATCTTTATTGGATTCCCATGCCTTATGTGTTAAATTTAATAGACACGGCTGCGCTCCTTTTTGCCGGAGAGAAGGAAACCCTAATGAATTCCTTCCCCATGCATGCATACGCCTTGTGCCGTGCTGGGCTTGAAAGATGTTTTTCGGTGATGAGGCTTTTAATGCTGGTTTCCTTCTGGTTTTCCTCCCAGTCGTTGCTTTTTCGGTGGCGTTGCATCAGAACAAGCAGCTGATCGGGGAGAAAGGGCTGCTGCCATGCAAGCTGTACCTGCGCAATGTCAAAAGGTACTTCAAAGGGAAGATTAACCTGGACACTGTGAGCTACGCCCCGACAATCCTCTGGTTCCTGGACTGGTCAGACATGGACAGCAACTTGGACTGCCTCGCTGGCCTCGGCATTGGGATTTCAGCCTTCGTGTTGGTCACGGGATGTGCCAACATGATCCTCATGGCCCTTCTCTGGCTTCTCTACCTCTCGCTGGTCAACGTGGGACAGATCTGGTAGGTGGAAACGCTTTCTCTTGTCTGGTTTCATTTGTTGCATCTTACTGTTCGTTGTCCAGGTCAGCTTTTTGTTCCCGAGAGACGCGGTAAGTCACTACGCAGGGATACGCCCCAGCAGTTGCAATGAAGTTTGGCTCGGACATTGTGAGTTCTCGGTAAGTTTGTGTAACACTGTTCTCTTTAAGAGGTTCCTATTTGTAACGCTGCAAACTAGGCGGTCGCTTAAATTGAGAGGTATTGCTCTTGGTGGGATGTGTTCTTCCTTCACAAGAGCTAAGGGACTGCTGTTAGCTTCGAGCTTTTCTTCTGAGCAAGATCTTGCCTTGCAAGTTGGCCAGACTGAACCGTGTCTCATGGACTGATCACAGCATGCACGCTTTGTGTCTGATTAAAACAGTCTCATTTTCCTAAAACATAAGGGCTATAAGAAGAAGGTGACAGGCTTCCTTTGTCCGTGCACTTCAGTTGTGTCTCTGATGGGAGTCTTCACTGCCAGATTTAGTGATGCCCCTGTCCTTACCAGGGATGCTGGTTTTCTTTGATTAAAAAAAAATCCCCAATTTTCGGATTTAAAAAAGTCACACAAAAATCCACAAGACCCAGCTAAACAAAGCCTTGGGTGGGATGATGTAGTTGGGGCTGGTCTTGCTTGGAGCAGGGCGTTGGACTGGATGTGACCTCTTGAGCTCCCTTTCAACCCTAACTTTCTATGATTTCCTAACTGCCCTGTCCTTCACTAGGGCTAGGGAACCAGACCTGAACTGCCCCAGTATCACAGTGGAGCTGGATTTTGCTGTTGCCTCTTTAGGGAGGAACAGCCAGCGTTGAGAAGCTTTTGGCCTAGTTTATATGCTCTGTCTGCATCTGTGTTCAGGGTTGGTGTGGGTCTGCCTCCGTCATGGCCTACGTGGGGAAGAGCATTGGAATTCATGAAGGGTGCATCTACACATTCATAAATGTGCTTTTCCTAATGTGCATTAAATGCAGTACCTCTATTGCGAGGTACTAAATAAATGTGTGTTAAGCTGTCCTGCTGCCCAGGAGTGAAAGCACGTGCTTTTTTAGTGATGCTTGATGTGCACTGTTTTTACTGCTCATTAGCCTATTAGCACAGTTTTTTACGTGACGCTTTAATGCGCAGTAAAATAAGCTACTACCCATTAAACCGCACGTGCAGATGTGGCCCATGTGAGCAGGAGGGGGCAGGCAGCCTCTTAATGCTGTTTCAGTATTGAAGGTAAGAAGAAACACGTTTAGTTTTATTCTTCCCAATCGCATTTGCTCCTCGCGCCCTCTGCTCCCAACCGCTGACACCGGTAATAAGCACGTTGGGAGCAGCGGTGCGACCTCGTCCCGGCAGGTGGGAGATGTGTGACATTCTTGCAGAGCTGCTGAATTCCTGCCAAGAAGCAACCCTGCTCCAGTCTGCCACGTGCACTGTCCCTGGGTTTTTTTTCTTCTGAGTCTTTTGGGGGCAGGGGGAGAGGGAAGGCAGCGGGGCAGCTTGGTGTCCCGCAGACCGTATCCAGATGTTGCCTCCCGACTAGGTGCAGCGGCCATATAGCTCCAGGGCCAGGCGCCGGGTCTCTGTGCAAACCCGAAGACAATGAGCAGCCTCACCAGCCTGCAGGCCACGCTCGCCGTTGGCCTTCTCTGGGTGCTGTGGTTTGAAGGCACCGGCTTCTTCATGATTGAGCTAGGATTTCTTTCCCTTAGTTCCCTCCGGAGCGTGCAAGCTCTGCTATCAAACGCAGGGAATTTATGGCATACGGCAGCATTACCAAGCCTGTGCGCCGAGCTAATCGGGGAAGGGGCGAGGGGGGGGATACAGGCGTGGCCTCCATTTCATCTCGGCTTAGTTGTGGCCTCGGATATATTAAATAGGAAATTGGGTTCATGTTGCAAAGGGGTGGGAGAATCAAAGCAAGCCCGGTGCTGCGGCTCATTCAGCCATGGGTGCATTTTTCATTAGCTCCTCTGCAATGGGTCACTGGGTGGTCAGGGCCGTATTATTATTGTGCATACACTGTGACATTCAATTCCATCGAGAAGGGGGTGCTGGGTGCTCACGACGCCAAAATAAAAAGAGCGATCGTGAAAGGGGTGCTGGCTCTTTCTCCTCCTTTGCCCCCTATGACAAAAAACTCTTGCTGTGCAAACCTCAAACCAGTGCTTGTTGAAAGTGGATGGACTCTGCCGTAGACAGCAGCGGGAGCAAGTAAATGTATAAAACTGGAGCTGGTCGGTTGTATTCATAGCTCCAAAAGAGTTCACTTTATAGATGGATGTTAAATGGGGGGGCGTTATCCTAAGATGTGTGGGCACTATCCTCTTTTCATGTATGTGGGATGGACAGCTTGTGTCTTGGGCCCCGGGGTTTCCTACGGCGGCTCTTCACTGTTTCTCTCTGCACATGCGAGTGAGACTTCGTCATCGGCTGCAACGTAAAGGGACGGATGACGCTGCTCCCGCGTCTCTCATTTCAGTCCTCACGTTGCTTGGGCTCCCCCCGAAATTCCCTCTCCTTGCTTTTACTGTTGAAAATGTACTCACCTTGGCTGAAGCACAGAATAATGCAATGAAGAGGAAGGACTTTTGCAGCAAGCTTGCTCCATGGCTAAGCTTTATTTTTTGTGCCCAACCTTAGTTGGGGTCCAGGCACCCTGTTGCATTGCAGTCGTGGACTCGGGCAGGGTGAGAGCTTGGAAGAGCTGTTGAGCTGCTTGGGTGTAAATCTGCGATGCTTTTATGAGACATCTTCTGGGATTTCTGATGTCACAGGTGGAATTAGGTGTCCATTCACAAACAGCAAACTTAGGAGGAAAATTCCTCGGTGCATGGCTTTGATGCCATCAGTACTGACAACAGGCCTCCCTTAAAGCAGCATGGCACAGACTGCTGTGAGAGGCAGGGTCCTGGACCGCTAGTCTGGCTTGATATAGCCAATCCAGCACGACTCTTGATGGGGAAGCTGGTTCAAGGGAGAAAATGGGATGTGGAAGAGAAATGCAGTTTTCCTTTTTTTTATGCCAAAGAAGAACAATTTATTCCTTTTATCTCTCTTTTTTTTAAATTTTAATTTTAAATGTATCTATTTGTTTTGGGCTGAAGTCTTCAGATACCAGACACTGTTGATGGAGCGATTCTTTTAACTGCCGTCCAGCTGGCTGGATCTCAGGGTAGAAAGGAAGCATCAGTAGAGTAAGTGTCTCCTTTGAAACGCAGGAAGGCATTTGCGAGGTAGGCTAGACCTCCACTTCTCCGAATCGCCGAGGCTGGGGAATAGTGCTCTGTTCTCTGGGCAGCTCTGAATGGGGCTAAGATCCCACCGAGGAGAAAGAGTTAAAGGGATTTGCTGGAGTTATTTAAAAAAACAAAACCAAACCCGAAGCTTTATAATAACTGTTTTGTTTTGTACCGAGTGAAGAACAGAGGGAAGGAAACCAGTAATAGCAACAGGAAATGGAGTCCTTCCTTGTCGGGTGCCAATCTCTTTAGATCGGGGTGACCGAAATCCACAGGCCTCTGACACCAGGTGGGCAGGCCTTGGGGCTTGCAATACCGTCCCTAGAAGATTTCGGTATTGGTAAGATGGAGCAAAAACTCAGCATTGTACTTAAAAATGGACCCCAGCCTGGCACCACTCTTATCAGCAGGGATCCTGATTTTCTCTGATTAAAACAAAACAACCCCCCCCCCCCCCCCCCCCCCCCATTTTTGGATTAAAAAAAGTAACCCAAAATCTACATTTTCCCATGATTAAAATGAAACACCACTCCCCCCACCCTTTCTCTCTCTAGATAGAGATATATCTATCTATCTAGATAGAGAGAGATTTAACTGTCTTATGATGAATGGTCTGTATTTTGCATCAAGATAGATATAGATCGCTAGATAGAGAGAGATATCTATATCTATCTAGAGAGAGAGATATCTATATCTATCTAGAGAGATCAATATCTAGAGAGAGATACCTATATCTCTCTAGATAGAGAGAGATATCTATATCTATCTAGATAGAGAGATAGCTATATCTAGATAGAGAGAGATATCTATATCTATATATTAGTGGTGTTTCATTTTAATCACGGAAAAATGTGAATTTTGGATTACTTTTTTTATCCCAAAATTGGTTTTGGGTTTTGTGTGTGTGTGTGTGTGTTTTATATAGGAGAAAAATGGGATCCGTGCTTGATCGGCATAGACCCCTTGTTAACGGTGACATGTGAACTCTCCCTGGGGCGGATGGGGAGTGATTGCCCCTCAATCACCAGGCATGTTGGAAATGTTTAACGTGATGGATGCCCCGTGGTGTCCGGCACCCCAAATGCCCTGAAATCTTAGTCCCGTCTCCTCCCTTCCCGCTCTCTGGCATATTGAACATCCCTTTTGAACTGTTGAATATCTGAGATGCTGGCAGTGAAGTGGAGGTTCACTGAAGCGCCCGTCCCCTGGGTTGGTTGGGAAGCCGTGCCGTAGTTGCTCGCCGTAACCCCGTGTTGCTGTCGCTTTGCGGCGCGTCGTTCATTTTAGTTGCAGCGCGCACCAGGACGCCTCTCGCTCGACAAAAATAAAAGCTGTCAAAGTGGCCGAGGAGGCCAGAAGAGGCGGGTGTGCATGGAAACTCCTCATCAGACGTCCCGTTCGGTCGTTGCCGTCTCCACAAGTCCCCGCTCTCTGGATTCCACCTGGTGACGAATGGTCTGTATTTTGCACGCTGCCGTGGCTCTCCCTCCCTCCTCCATCCTCAGTGTTTGTCTGGTGGATTGGATTTGCGCTCGGCGGGATCTAACATGGTGACCCTTGAGGCTTTGAAATGTCTCCCTGCTCAGACCTCAAGAGGCCCGATCCCCGATCCCTTCTGGCTTGCTTCTCTGCCAGAGGACACGTCGATATGAGGACGGCGATCAGAATAGCATCTGCTCTTCTGAATTCTGCTATCCGAACGAGTGGGGGTTTTTTCAGTAGTTTCTCTGGAATTGCTCCCTGCGTGGATG